ATATATATGAGCAGATGCTGGATATTACTTTTCTCTGTCTCACAGGTGATCTCTGGTGCTTACTCAATGTATGTCTGTGTTGTTTTCTGTCCTGCTTTCCCCTCCCACTTCAGGCCTCATTTAAGCGCCATTCAGACTTCAAGAGCCACGGCCTCGTCCACACACAAGAGCGGCCTCATTGCTGCGAATTTTGTGGGAAGCGTTTTAAGCGAGCCTCCAATCTAGCCGAGCATTGCCGGATCCATTCGGGGGAGCGGCCACACCGCTGTGCTGCCTGCACCAAGCGTTTCAAGACACCTTATGAGTTGCAAAGGCACATGTTAACGCACTGTTCAGAGCGACCCTTTGTCTGCACTGCTTGTGGGAAGGGCTTTGCAGCAGCAGGGGCCCTCCTCCTACACCAGCGGCAGCACTGCGATGACAAGCCCCATGTCTGTGGTATTTGCGGCAAGAGGTTTGCCTACGGACATAGCCTGCGTGTTCACGAGAGGGTGCACACCGGCGACCGGCCCTTTTCTTGTGCTCTCTGTGGCAAGGCATTCAAACAGTCCAATGCTTTGGCATCGCATGAGAGGGTGCACACAGGGGAGCGCCCCTTTGCCTGTCCAACATGCAGCAAAGCTTTCAAGCAGTCATCATACTTGGCTATCCATGTACGCTCACATACGGGTGAGCGTCCCTATGCTTGTGTAACTTGCAGCAAGGCCTTTGCACGCCCCTCGCTTCTCCTGCAGCACCAGCGTGTCCACAGCACAGAGCGCCCCCATCAGTGCCAACACTGCAGCAAGCTGTTTAAAGACCTGGCATATCTGGCAGTGCATGAGAAGGTTCACACCGGTGAAACCCCTTACAAATGCTGTGTGTGTCAGAAGGGCTTTGCCCATCCATCCAACTTACTGCAGCACCAGAGAATCCACCCAGATGGATAGAGGAAATGGTGTCTCACTAATAGAAACATGAGTGTGTAATTTGCACACATGCTCCAACCTGTATCAGCACCAGTGTGTGTACTGTGATCAAAGGACCATTCTCTTTGTACATCCTTTGCACATACATCAAACCATTTGTCAGCTTTGCTGGGCATGCATTGTACAATATTGCACAAATGGTTCATTTATCCCTTGGTGTAGCTCCTGCACTACCTGTGTTGGAACATCAGAGCCTTTGAGTATTTCACATACCCTGTTTGACACAGCAACCTATGAATCTTTACTTTTTTTCCTTGTTGCAAGCAGTTTCTAACCCTTATGATTGCAGAAATAACATACCAGGTATTTTAGTGTGTTACAAATCAGATAGTTAAGAGGAGCAGGAATTTCCTTTGTCAGAAGGCAGCATGTCAGTGTTCTGTGTACCACTTCTTCCTTCTCCTTGGCTAGGAGAAACAGGGGAAAAGGTGTAAAATAAAGAACTGTATGTACATTGGCTTATTTTACATTAATTACTATTTTAAAAAAACAGCCGATTTGTCAGTATTGTGGTGATTCTATGTCCCAATGCATATTTTAGATGCTTTTTTATTTTGGAAAATGCATTTAAATGCATGTTTTTACAGAAATAGGAATAAATATTGTCATACAGAAAGAGACAAAATAGAATTAATGGGGAAACCAGTTCTAGCCTCTGTTTTTCTCCTTCCCATACCACTGTAATTGAGTAAGAAAAGTTATTTGAAATATTTTTTTAAAAAATAAACAATGCAAAGTGCCATCTGTACATGCTGGAGGTCTAGCACTTACATTCAGAAGTTAAACTAATTTTTATTTTTAAACATTTGATAATTTTTGTTAGATGAAAACCTTCCTGTGCTCCAGCCACCTCTACTCTATGGAGTTACCATTCTGAGAAAAAGGAGACAAATGGTTATGCCCTATGTCCCTCAGCTATTTACTATGTTTGTGTATGTAGGATTCAAATTATGTTAATTGTATACAGTCAGAATACATACTTAGAATTTAAATAAGCATATTTCAGGAGCTCAAAGTAGTTTACACACCAGCTGACTGTTGAGATATAATGACAATCCATAGTTCTCTGTTTTGAGAATCTGCAGCAGCTATGCCAAATTTTTGTGTTCATTCCTCCTTTTCCTTCACATGCAAAGGAAGCAGAAACCATAGTTTAGGATTGTCCTGAAGCCACAATCTACAGCAGGGGTAGGCAACCTTTCCCCTTTAAGGGCCGAGGGACTTCAGCTCCCAGAAGCCTCAGCTATGTTGGCCAATAGTCCCATGTTGGCCAATAGCTCCTGGGATTCTGGGAGCTGAAGTCCCTCGGCCCTTAAAGGGGAAAGGTTGCCTACCCCTGATCTACAGCCTGTACAAATTGTAATTTTGCCATATGAGAAGAAATGGAAGCTAGTTTTCCTGTGTCTAAGGAAATGAGATGGCAAGAGCTTGTTCTCATGTATGAACTGAACAATTGTTTCAGCTATTGTTACAAAAGTACTATGAGTTATGAAAATCCTATTTCCATGGCCTACATCAGGGACCGGCAACCTACGGCCCACGGGCCGGTTCCGGCCCAGGTACCGACACTCACCAGCCCAGGCGGACCCCTGCTGCCGCCGCCGCATGCCACATCCGCCGCGTTTTTTGGCGGCCGTGCGCAACGCGACTGCCATTTTGATTTCCAAAATGGCAGCTGCAATGCGTTTGTGCATGCGCAGGAGTACTGTGCATGCGCAAACGCGCCGTGGCCGCCATTTTGGAAATCAAAATGGCAGTCGCCTGTTCTCCAAAATGGCAGCCACGACTCGTTTGTGCATGCACAGTACTCATGCGCAAAAGCATCGCGGCCGCCATTTTGGAAATCAAAATGGTGGCCGCGACATGCGTGGAGGCAGCGGCAGGGGTCCATTCCCCCCCCCTCAGCCCGGCGGAGGGGAGGACTTTGGGGGACTGGCCCCCAGCTCAAGAAGGCTGCCTACCCCTGGCCTACATGAAGGTTTAGGCAGTAACCATCGTGGTTTTCTAAAAGCTACTTTATGAGTTTGTGGCAGAGACAAAGTTTAAGCTGGCGCCTGCCTTGTTCATGCTCCTAACAACCAGCCTACATTTTGCTACACAAAACTACAGATGTAAAAATGTACTGTGGCTTATACAGAGAACCTCAGTGCTTGGATACTGATAACCTAACTAGCAGAACAGGGTATTTGTTCTTACAAAATTAAGGTGCTTGATGCCCTTGTATTTAATATTAACTGTCATAAAGTTATCATTTGATGCATAGATTGTACGTGGCCTAAAGGACCATTCTTGGATACATTTAAAATTAAGAATTTCTGTTGTGATTGTTTCCTTTTTTTATGGTTCAGGGCAGTACAACTCAGAGTGGTGATCCATGGGCTGATCTCTGGAGTTTCGAGGAGAGCAGGAAACAGTTATAGTCAGTGGGCATAAATATAGTATTGGTACTTGGCACATTGAGAGCTAGCATGGCATAATGGTTTGAGTGTTGGGCTTTGACTCTGGAGACCAGAGTTCGTTCCCCTCTCAGCCATAAAGCCCACTGGGTGACCTTAGGCAAGTCACATGCTCTCAGCCTCAGGGAAAAGCAATAGCAAACCTCTGAACAAATCTTGCCAAGAAAACCCCATGATAGTTTTGCCAGAAATTGAAAACAACTTGAAGGCACACAATAACAACAAACCTGGCACATTGGGGAGTTGGAATGCCAGTCCTCTCACATCAGATAGATTAAGAAGTATAGGCTCAGAGGACTTTGAAAATATTAGGTAATGTGGGCTGCTAACCTTTCCTTTGTGGAAATAAGGCATTCTTGTGCCTTTTTCCTTGCATAGCTGTAACATATGCTGCAACTACAAGGCCTTTCCTCTAGGAAGCATGGAGGAATAAGCTCTTGAATAACTTCTTTCTGAGCAGGATTCAGCTTTGCTACTTTGGCTGCATCCACACTACAGAAATAATCCAGTTTCATACCACTTTCAGTGCTATGGCATCCTGGGAACTCTAGTTTTTTGTGGCACCACTTGTCTGTGACAGAGAAGGCTAAATGTCTCACAAAAGTACAACTCCAAGAAATCCATAGCATTGAGCTACTTTTTCTGCTCAGGTTAGCTCCCTAGTTAAATTGGTGTCAAACTGGATTATTTTTACAGTGCAGATGTAGCCTTTATGGCAGTCAGAAGACCATTATCCAGTAGGGTGAGGGGTTTGATAAAAGAAGGTATTGATACAGAAAAGTAGGGGAAACTATTTGTGTGTAGCGGTGGAGAAGAATATATTGCCTTGTCCTGGGTTAAAATTACAATTCAGATTTACCTCAAACTGGAGACGGTTGAAATTTACCTCAAATGGGAGTCTAGGTTGCATGTTACCTCAGATTGGAGTTTAGGGCTGAAATTTACCTCACACCTTAAAGAGGAGACAGACAGACACTTGTTTAGCTTTTCAGCATATTTTTACCTTGCCTTTCAAATTAAAAGGCCTTCTTTTTTACTCTCTTAAAATTTTACTCTCCTTTAACATATCTTTTTCTTTGTCCTTGCTACTTTTATCTAATCGTATATAACAGTAAATTTTACCGGTTTAAAATCTTAGTATCCTTTCTAATTTATCAAAATCACATTTTCCCATTGCTCCTTCATATATGGTATTTCAAAATTAGGTAATTGCCATCCCTTATCCATCTTATCTATTGATTTGTTTCTTAGTATTTGCGTCATTTTGTCGATTTCTATTATTTCCATTAATTTTATTACCCAGTCTTCTTTTCCAGGAATATCTTTCAATTTCCACTTTTGTGCAAATAATATCCTTGCCACAGAGGTCATGTATTTTTCCATGTTTCCTTTCTACTTCACCATCAAAAATTCCTGCCCACAGGCCTTTGTTGTGTACCAGCAAGCCATTTCCAACTTAGGGGAACCCTGTCACAGGTTTTCTTGGCAAGACTTGTTCAGAGGGAGTGGGTTTGCCTTTGTTTCCCTCTGAGGCTGAGAGTGTGTGACTTGCCCAAGTTCACCCAGTGGATTTACATGGCTGAGCAAGGATTCAAACCTTGGTCTTCAGAGTCATAGTCCAACGCTCAAACCACTACACCACGCTGTCTGTCTGGCTTCCAATATAAAAACATAAGAAAAGGCATAAGAAAAAGGGATCGAGAGGGCACCCATGCTTGGTGTATATAGATTCAGAGATTATTATCCACAATTATTATCTGTAAACTGAGATATTATTAAGAAGTGGAAATTGTAAAATTAAATTATAGTAATTACATTATACTTCTGCTACTTTTTCTGCTCAGGTTAACTCCCTAGTTTTCCTTAAGCACAGATGTGGACCTTGTTAACCTTCAGATATTGTTAGACTGTAGTCCCCATCTTTTCTCACTGCTGTCCATGTTGGCTGGGGTTGCTGGGAGTTGGAGTAAATTCAGCACTAGGCAAAGGTTTCTTACCCATTAGGAATGGCACTTGTTCCTTCATTCTCCTTTAACTGAATTTAACAGATTTGTTTTAAACTTGTATGTTGCTGTTAACTCTTCTTGCACCATTATCAAATGCTTGGCCTTACAATTGTTGTCATTGTTGTGTGCTTTCCAGTCGTTTCAGACTTATGGTGACCCTTTGTTGTTGTTGTGTGCCTCCAAGTCATTTTTTACTTATGGCAACCCTAAGGCGACCCTATCACAGGGTTTTCTTGGCAAGTTTCTTCAGAGGGCAGTTTGCCATTGCCATCCTCTAAAGCTGAGAGAGTGTGAGTTGCCCAAGGTCACCCAGTGTGTTTCCATGGCCAAGCCAGGATTTGAACCTTGTTCTCCAGAGTCATAACTCAAACTACTATACCATGCTGGCCTTACAATAGCACCTACAAAATGGCTGCTTAGACCATAGGTCCCATATGGGGCATCCTTTTTTGTCCTAAGATTTGGAATATATCCCTTGGTTCCTTAGTTGTGTTTAGCTCTTGCCAGCTCACTGATTCTGCACACTATGACCATTATCCTAAAAATCAAAATGGGCCTCTACAACTTATGCATATCAAACACACAGATCCTAATGTTTATTGCGCACACACACATAGAATGACTGGTCCATATGGATAAAAGCCTTGATTCTCATAAATTATATAACTTTTTAAAAATGATGCCCCAGGAACCCGACATCACAGAAGTGATCACATCACAAAAGTATCACAGAATGAAACCATCTTGTGGAAGTCTAACTAGTGATATATCTCAGTTTGGACTCTCAGCTCCCAACAATAAAAGCAGGCCATTAAAATATATGTGTAAAAGAATCAAACTTTTATTGTACGTTATACATTGGCCATTATGAAATGAGTAGTGTGTATGCGAATATATATTAGGGTTGGTAAAATGAAAATTGGAGACAGTTCCTATCTCTTTTAATGTTGTGTAAAAAAAGGGAATTTCAGTTGGGGATGGGGTTGCTTGAACTTCAACCAGGTAGCAAGCAACACCTGCTCAAATTCCCTCTTCTATACAACCTTTAAAAAGATGCGGCCATGTCCAACTTTCAATCTGACAACCTTAATGTACATATGTGTATGTAAATGAGACAAAATAACAGTATAAATGCCAAAATTGGGGGGGGGAGAGATCACAGAAACATTAGAAAAATATACAACCCATTCATTATAAATACAGAATTTTAAATATAAGGGCATGGAGGACTTTACTTTTGTAATAGTGCAACATACCAATTTTTAAAAACCACACAATTTTCTCCAGGCAAACTGCTTCAATGACATTTAAAACTTCATTGAGATTCTGCTTCATATAGAGGAGACAAACATGTCACCCTTTAAGAGTTTGTTGGGAAAATTTTCACATCCTCTAGGGCAGGGGTAGGCAACCTAAGGTCCGGGGGGCCGGATGCGGCCCCCCGAGCCCTTTGAACCGGTCCCAGGCCGGTCCTGCCGCCGCCGCCACCCGTCACCACCACCTGCCATGATGATATTGATTATTGTTGTTATTACTTGTTCTTGGGGTTTTCTTGGCAAAATCTCCACAGGGGGTTTGCCATGGCTTTTCTGGGGCTGAGAGAGTGTGCATGCATATATATTTTTAATATTTTTAATTTTTTAAAAAAAATATTTATTTATTTATTTATTTATTTATTTTTGGTGCTTTGGCCCCCCAATTGTCTGAGGGACAGCAACCCAGCCCCTGACTCAAAAAGGTTGCCTACCCCTGCTCTAGGGAAACCTTTTTATAAATTGCAACAACTGCTGCCTTTTTAAAATTTGTTTTCTTAATTCCCAAAAGGCAAAGAGTTTCACAGCTGAGGTTCATTTGATATCATCCTGTAGTAGAAAAACCTGCTCTCAAGGCTGCCTCTTGCATAATCACAAGCTGGCTAGTTCACCTTTGATGAAGGAGGGTAGGATCCAGAAGACAAATACCTTATTTTCCTGCGTATAAGACTACTTTTTTACCTGCAAAATCTGTGGCTAAAGTGGGGGGTCGTCTTATATGCCAGATATAAGGATAATGAGGATAGAGGTGCTAAAACTCTATATTTTGACTGGAAAAATGGGGGGGGGGTCGTCTTATACGTGGGTCGTCTTATACACCGGAAAATACGGTATATTGAGAAAATAAATATATTTTACACCTATGGTTGTAATGTGTTGTTACAATATCCACACTACCCTGAGCAATGCCAGGATATAAGACAGCCCTTAGAGGTTAAAAGTGTCTTTGCAATACAGTATATATCTTATTTTTTGTAGTTAACTGCCCTTGAGTCAATCTCAATCCATGGTGACCCTATGATGAGACATCTCCAAGACCCCCTGTCCTCTGCTGCTCTGCTTAAATCCTGCAAACCATACCCATGACCTCCTTAATAGAGTCCATCCATCTGGCATGTGGCCTTCCTCTCTTCCTACTTCCCTCCACCTTCTCCAGCATTATTGTCTTTTCTAATGAGTCCTTCCTTCTCATGATGTGTCCGAAGTACGATAGCCTCGGTTTGGTCATCTTGGCTTCCAGGGAGGTTTCTGGCTTGATCTGCTCTTTGTCTTTTTGGCTGTCCACAGGATCCTCAACACTCTTCTCCAGCACCACAGCTCAAAGGGGTTGATTTTCGTCCTATCATCTTTCTTAACTGTAAATATCTTATTTACAAATATACAAGCAAATAGACAATATACAAATGTACAAGAAAATTCATCTCTAAGAAGCAAGATGGGCAGCCAGTTTCAATTAAAAAAAACAAAACTTTCAGCACCTCTCTGTTTCTGGGTCCAGAGTAAGCTCCAAGTTTATTAAGTGACTTTGCAAAACTGCAATAAAACTGGAGTTTGTGTGTGTGAGACCCACAGTTCTTATTTTTTGCCCCAAAGTGAGTGTGTAAGAAAGATATGGAAGAAGACATCAACTGATAGGGTTAACAATAACAAAATAAATTTTAGCCATAGAGCAGGACAAAATAACAAAACAAGCTCTTTCTACATTTGGTTCCCATTCTTTCCACCCACATATGCTTTTTAAAAGGGGTCAATGGGGCTGTAAAGAATGCATGCAGGACATTCTGTTAATGATTTGCCTTTGGGCTGCTTGCAGCTTGTGAGGATGGCAAGAGACCTTCTCTTTCAGTTTTCCAAGAGAGCCAGGGGTTACGCTTGTGTTTGAGGCTGGTGCATGGGAGACTACTGTTGTGGCCTCTTTTTGGAGGTGGTATGTTAGCAAATTTCCCATTCAGCCCTGTGATTTCTGTTGGTGCTGCTTATAGTTTCTCCTGGTCCCTGCATATTGTGGCAAAAGTCACATTTTCACAGGTGAGTGATCAGCTTTCAAAAAAGTATAAGTGTGTGGTGTGTGTCATGTGTGACAGCACATATTTATCCCAAATGGTACAAACTGCCACCTAACATTTGGGACTCAAATGTTAATGTCTGAAAGCCTCCAGAATTTTTATTTTCAGAACCTACTACATTACATGGTGTGCATATTTTAGAATCATGTTGTGCCTTTACAGAGACTCATGTGGCAGCTTTAAGATGAAGAGATTTACATAGCCTTTTGTGAATTACATCTCACTTTATCAAATGCATTAAGTAGGATCCTGAGTTACAGTTGTATGATTCTTATTTGTCTACACACACAGAGAGACATTTGCAGGTGAAAGGGTTGAGGTGATTTAAAACTCTGAAATCAGAGGGAAATGAAATGCAGAATGTACAGACAGGGATATAAAGTTAAAGTAAAGACAGAGAGGAAGTGACCAAGCTCTCTGGAGGCAACCTGTAGCTTTAGTTTTGCTAGAGCAACTTAAAAAATAACATGCAAGCTTGGCCCAAAAGCTTTTAGGACTGGTCTCAGCATTTAGTACAAGAAGAAACTTGCAGTTCTTTTCTTTGGCCAGAGTCCAATGAGGGCACCAATAGCGCATCTTAAGTCATAAATTCAAAACTGCTGTGGACTGTTTAACTCTTCCTGACACTCAAACAGTCCCTTCCATTAGATTTGCCAGAGATAATTTGAAATATAATAATTTAATTGGAGTTTTGTCACCATGTTGATCTTTTCTTTTGCTTCACAGGAGATGGCTGCAAAGCATGTCCAATATAAGGGGATAAAGTTTCCCCCTGGATACAATTCTGTGGACAGCCTTTGTTTCGCTGAGAATGAGTTTCAAGTGCGAGATGATGATATCTTCAACATCACTTACCCTAAATCTGGTAGGACAATGGGACAGGGCGGGGAATTGGATTTACAGTTTCCAAAATTCATACTTTCAAAACCAAGAGAAATTCTGCAGGTCTCTTGCTGGGTATTTGAAAGATGTGGGATCCAGGTTGAAATGACACCAATCTGTGTAATATTGGCATAACTTAAAATATAGCTGTATTTTATATATAGGGTTCTATCAATACCTCTTCATGGAACAATTTTGTGAAGAAATTTTAATGTTTGCTTAATTTGCTTGCAAAAATATAGCTAGTTTAATTTTCTTCTAATTTGACCCCCTCCCCCCCAAAAAACGCATGCATTCCTTTATTGTTGGTATAGGAGAAAGTGAAAAATTATGGGACAAAAATGGATTAATAGCTGAAAAATGACACTTAAAAATATTCAG